CTCTATATCTAACAATACCCTGATTATGATATTATACTATGTCGAAAGTACTCAGAATGAATACATTATGAGCCAACTCAGTGTTTTCCTCTCGTCTTTTAATAACCGCACAACAAAGCTTATCCGTGAATATGAAAAGATCCTATCCAGTACTTTTGCAGAAAAGCATCCCCAAACCATGATGCTGCCACCAAATTTCACTGTTGGATCTGTGTTCTTTTGTTTGAAGGCATCGCCATGTTTCCTCCATACATGATTGCCAGAATTATGTCCAAAATCAATTTTGCTTTCATCTGTCCATAATACTCTTTCCTTATATGATTTTCCCTTATGTTCACGAACGAATTTCAACCTGACATCTCGGTGTCTTTTCAATAACAATAATAAGCATGAATTTAGATGTATTTCATTGCTTATTGCTTGTTTACTGACACAGATTCTTGATGAAATCATCCTGCAATTCTTGATGTGTAAACATTGGATTTTGTTTATTTTGGCACATTAATTTCCTTGAAAATCTTCCGTGGAGCACCTGTTCTTCTTTGGTTTTCAACAGTTTTGAGTTTTTTATACCTTGTAATGAATGAACTAATGGTAGTAAATGCAATATTCAGGTTGTCTGAGATTTTCCTGTAACTTTTACCTTCTTTCCAGAACTTAACAATCAGTTCTTTTTGCGAATTTGTTAATTCTTTACTTCTTGTCATGATGAAAACCTTCTTGCATGAATATCAATTACAAAATGTTCTGTTTGTATTTTTTTAGGCTAAAAAATAACTACTGATAACATTATTGGAACATTCTAAAATATTCCACTTGAATAATCTAGATTATTAAAGCAATTTAAAACTTTTAAAATGGATAAATGGGATTTATTTCTATTAAATCAAATTTGTTTGTTTTCTATGTTATTATGCATCTGTGTACAGTTAATTATATGAAAAGTATGTTTATTCATTAGTTGTAAATACAATAAATTAAAAATTTGTATGTGTACAATTACTTATTTTCCCCCATTGTATATACACAGCATACACTTACTGATAGGTACTGATAACATATCACTGATAGATAGTAGAATGAATGCCACAGCCTATCAAAATATTTTGGAAGCAAATTTAATGATTTTGTTTGAAAATCTTGAACTTCCTCTTGATTGGATCTTCCAACAAAATAATGATCCTAAGCACACTGCAAAATCTATGAAGAAATTTGCTAAAAATAATGTAAATACCAGTCAGTCCCCAGATTTAAACAGAATCAAGAATCTGTGGTGTTATTTAAAAATTCAAATCCAATTGAGAGCTCCAAACATCCCAGATCTGAAGATCATATGTGAAGAATGGAACAAAATACCAACTAAAATCTGCAAATCATTGAGAACTACAAGAAGTTGGTTGCTGTAGAAGTGAATAATGGCTATTCTACAAAGTATTAAATGAAGATTTTGTAGTCTTTTTTGTATTGTACAAATCCTTTTTTCACACATTAAAATGGATTTATTTCTATAAAATCAAACTTTTTTTCCATTTTCTATGCATATTTAGTTATTATGCATCCATGTAGAGTTAATTATATAAAAAGTATATTTATTCATTAGTTGGAAATACAATAAATTAAAATTTTTTATGCATACGAATATTTGTTTCTCTGCCCAACTGTATGTTATGGGTGTATATCCTAGCAGATTTCATTTAGATTCTTTTTGTTCAGGTTTCCATCATCATTGTTATTAAATATCCCACATTGTGATAATAGATCTGCCAAGAAAAGGGAATTGTAAGAATCTGGATACAAATTTACTGGGGATGATCTAGTGATTAAAGCACTTTCTATATATCTTTCTCTTTTAATTAGAGTAACATTTTTTAAATCAAAATTATGATCAGACTGATCACAGTAAGCAACTAATGCACTGAGGGAGTTGTTTTGGTCATATTATCTTTTATTTAATTTCCTTGAGGTTTGTCCTATATATTACTTGTGGCAATTATTACAGATGATAGAGTATATTTGCCCTTCAAGTTTTAGCTTATTATTTTGTTTTGTATTAAGTCTTATTGCTTTAGTAGTTGCAACAAATTTTGTGTTAAGTTTAAATAAATTCTTTTCACTTATAATTTTGATAGAATTGCTGGGTAGAACAATATATTTTGATTTGTTGGCTTTGTCAGAATGATTCACTTTTCTATTTTGAAATATTTTCTGAGTCTTATATTGCATTGAATATGAATCAATTATGTTATTGGAGGAGTGTGTATTTTCAATGCATTTCTCATGTAAATATTGATGGCTACAAATTGTGAGTGCTCTTAAATAGAATCTGAGGATTTTTCCAGATCTTATTTTGTTGTTATGGTGAACATAGAAATTGTGAAAATTTTTATTAGTTGATTTGCAATGAACACTCAGTTTTGGGCTATTGTTACTGTGGCGTAACATGATATCTAGCAAACTCAACCACAGTCAATGTCCTCCAACTAGTTGGTTCACCTTGATCACAAACATACGGCTGTAGTAAGTTCATCTGAGGGAGCCTTCTGACCTGCATTGGGTTGGTACTTCTCCCCATACTGCACCGTTAACACTAACCCCTTACATGAGCTTAGCTTGCTAGCTGAAGTAGTTTACCAGGGCATGGCAACTTGGAGCCATCATGTGAGAGATTTAGATGGTGCAGGACCAGTGATGTCCATCCACCTAAAGGTGCAGTGTGCCAGACATCAATGGTCCAACCCACATCCAGAGCCCCCTATGCCTAAATTGTTGAACATCTAAGTCAAAATTGTGGACAAATAGTTCATGGTTTTGTGTACTTTCAATCATGTCATTAATCAAGAACTGAATGTTGTCAGTATGGCAGGTGAGATGATGTTGGCTTGAGAAGGGGAGGTGTAGGTGTGCTAGGATTCAAATATATGCGCATCATAAGTGACATGTATAAAATGGCTTCATAAAGCTTAACTGGAGAAGAATGTACAAAATAATTTGTCTTACTTTATATACATATTAATTATTTTATAAATAATTTAAATATTGGCATCACAACTTTCCTTCAGTCAGATACTGGGATATCACTATATACAGGGTGTCCATAAATAAATATGCACTTTAAATTTAAAACTTTATTTGTATTTGCAATAGAAATAATCTGTAAATAAATGTTATATAGTTTAATATACCTAGTTTTAAGTATAGCTAAAATAACAAATGTGATTTCAGGCATTACTGTAAATCAGTTGGCAAATGTTTTCCGTGAACTTCAAAATCATATTACCCTTTGTATTGCTAATGACGGAGGACATGTGGAAACTTAAATAAAATTTCAATAAAACCTTAAAAAATATAGATTTACTTCTTTCTAATCCTTTTTACAAATTATTTCTATTGCAAATACAAATAAATTTATAAATTTTTTAAAGTGAACACGAACTTTATGAACACCTTGTATATAACACACACACAGATTGATCTCCAGTTGCTATCAAAGATTGGAGACAGAAAGGGCATCTGGTACATCTGCAATGTGACAGAGAACCAGGAAAACCTGGTGGTATTGTGACATACTGCCAGAGTACCTGGAGTTAATGCCAATGAAGATTTGGCAGTGAAACAATGCCAAAATCCATGCTTACCATTTGATGAGACCATTTTGGAAACAACTCTTAAATATACATGCACACAATGGCATCTCAAATTTCCAGGAATCTGTTTTCTGAAGACCTATTCTGCTTATTTTATTTTTAATCTGAGAATGGAAAAAAATCACTTTATAGTATCAAAAAGAATTAAACCATTTTGACAATAGAAAACATTTAAGATATTTCTAGATTGAAATTCTGTCCTCATATCTCTATTCAGAAGTGTGATGCTTTTTGACTTGTGTCATGGTTTCTTAGTCACATTCAAATTGAATTGCAGCAGCCCCAAAACGCCAATGGATGACCTAGCAAATTTCTGACTACATTTGCCACATTTTTAACTTAAAGATGATGTCCTTTGTCTGAATAAATTATCACAGAAAACCTTATTTCAGCTTCTGCAGTACTTACAGCAATGGTATTAATGATATTTTTAGCTATTAATAGCCAAGATTATTTTCAGATAATCCAACAACCGGCTTGCTTAGCTTTTCTTAGCTTTTATAAGTTTAAAAACTGGTTTGTGCAAACCAGTTGGATGCCACCACTGCAGACATACAAGTTTAGTAATCTTAAAAAAAAAAAAAAAAAAAAAAAAAAGAAAAGAAAGATAGACAGAATATTACAACCCCTTTATCTTTAAGGTTACATTTTAGATATAAATTATGGAGTCTCTCGTGTCCAGTACAATGAGACAGGCAAGTCACCATTTCCCTGGTAAACTTTTCCATCGACAGTCTTTTCTTTTATATTTGCAAAGGATCTGTGAAAAATTCTTGGCCTAAGGGATTCCCAATAATTTTGATGTTGGGTCAGATTTTGAGAAGTTGTTAAAGTCGAGAATTTTTCAGCACTGCCATGCGATCATTTGTATCAGTTCAATGCGCCTAATGGAAGGGAGGTAACTCAATCATTTAAATTTATGCATTATCTCCCTTTATAAAAATCACAAAACTCGAAAACGTTTTCTATAAGCAATTCTTTTATTTCTTTCTGTAGTCTTTTATGGCAACTCTTGCCAACATTTTGCCAACATTTTGCCAACGGATCCTTCTCTCCTTCACGGTTTGGGCGGGAAATGGGAAGGAGAACCTTTTATTCAAATCATCTAATGTTTATGTTGGGGAAAGAAAAAGACAGACAGTTTGGAAATGGAGGAGGATAGAATCAAAAACAAATAAAAAAAAAAAAAAAGAGTTTATAAGTTTTAGATTTATATGTCATCATCCATTTTACAACATCAAAATTAGACGGGCTCGATTCTAGAAAATAATTTTTTTTATTGCCAAAATTTATTATTTAACTTTTATTTTGTTGTTTTTGTAGGCCTTGCTAGAGTTTGGATTCTAGGGCGAGAAGTCATGCACAGACACTAAGGGCAGTGTCTCTCTCTTCTATCAGCTCAGCCATGGTGGCATCCATTTTGCTTCTGGCAAAGTCATCAATTGACAAACCCTGCACAATTTGGTAAGAGTGGTCAGGTTTTGTTGCAACAGGGAAACTGTAAATGAGGCCTTTCTCTACGCCATATGAACCATCAGAGCAGACAGCCATTGAGACAAACGTTCCCTGTGAAGAAGAAAAAGAAAAAAAAAAAACCATAAAGATGAATAAATTCAGTTTTATACTAGAAACTGTTAAAAATAAATTCAGTTTGTGTAAAAATTGAACTTCATGACCTTAGGGAAATTCTACTTGTCACTAGAATTTCCCTAAGGTCATGAAGTTCAATTCATTCATTTGCAGCCACCCAAGTTTAGTTCACTATAAATCTGTGGCATAAAAGGTCAGTAGTTTTTAAAGCAGTCTAGATTTTATATTATTTTCAGGATTGCAATCTATTTACATGTTCTCTAAAGCACTCCATTCAACTATGTGATATTTGTGTGGTGATTGGCTCGGAGTGAAATGGACTTGCATTTTTGCAGACCTCATCTAATGAAGAGATTTTTCTTACACATGCAAAATCATGCAACACTAGAAAATTTTGGCCTTCAAGGGAAACTGGAAAATGATAGCTTAAAAGCAACACAAATTAAATTAAATTTGTAAACTTTGACACAATTTCCTCTATAGAAATAAAACTACTTTATAAATGGCTGTGCATTGGGGTGTCATGGATATTGGTCCAGAATAAGAAATCGGGAGTTGAGTTAGAATTTCAATTGGGTTCATTATGTTCACTAACACGCAAATACCCTTGAGAAGAGGGGAGAAGAGACATGATCGCCCAAGCGTGTATCACGTATGGCGTTTAACTTTATAAATAGCAGGTCCTGAGTTATTTCCCTTGGATTATTAAAGTTCCGTTTTAATTCTCTTAAGTTAAATTTGCACAAACAAAAACCTTAAGATATGCCTGGTAGGAGCTTTGGTGTCTGTCTGTTACAAATCCACAAACAGAATTCGAATCATAAAAACAGATTCTTCCACAGCAACGAAACCCAAAACCACCCACTACACCCCTAACGGTTTTGTTGCTCTTTCCCTTCCCCCCACGCTTGAGGGAAAGATAATTTGGGGAGTGAAGCTGCTGGATTTGAGCCAAAAGTAATCAAAATTTTTCCAGTCGACATTCCAACTCTTTCTACCGCAAACATTGTTGAGAGTTTGAAAATTCTAAGAAGCTATTTTGGACAACGGCATTTTAAAGGCAGACTTACATCAGGCACCCCATTCCACCAGTCACGGACATGGTCACAAATAGCCTTGGCAGCAGACATGGCACTGGACATCTTTCTGGCTTTGATTACAGCAGCACCTCGCTGTTGCACAGTCTAAAAACAAAAACCATGAAAACTATGATCAGAAAAAAAAATACAGAATATTTTCTTAAATGATTTATGCCTCGTAATTTTCTAAGGAAATAAACAAGACTAAAATTATTACAATCAAAATCTTACAAAGATCACATTTTTAATAAATCCAACTGTTGCTTAGTATGACAAAGTCAAATGGAAGGAAAAGAGGTAAAGAAGATTGCAGCCACAATTTTCCAAGTGGAAAATGCCACTAATATCTGTCTTGAAAAGCCCAAATATTTACATTACTCTTTTGGCAAAGCTTAAACACATCAATGAAAAACAGGCGTCAAGAAGATTTTTTTTTCATCTGGACATTGCTATTACTGTTTATTCCCTCTGAAAGTTTTATTTGTAAATAAACCCCAAACACATGAAATTGTATTTATACATTCTCCTTTCTTGAGAATTGACAACAAAAGAACTAAACACTATTTTATTAGATTGTATATTTACAAATTTTTAAAAATGTGAACCAAAACTATCTCCCACATGAGGGTAAGCCATTAGCAAGATGAAGACACCCTTGCCACTAATGTCTTACCATTACAGGGCAGGGATTTCTGATGCACGTTCTACAACGCAACATTTATTTCTTACCATATTGTAAAGAAATAAGTATTTTTTTTTAAAATCATAATTCTATAAAAATGTCTGAACAAGAAAATTTAAACACTTAACAGCAAGTAACTGTAATTATAAATTAAAAAAAAAAAAAAAATAAATAAATAAATAAATAAATAAATCTATGCATTTCTTTCATTTGCTCTCAACATATAAATTCAGTAAAATAGTTTGCGAACACACATTTTCCAAGAACTGACAACAAAAATGTTAAACATTTATTCATTAGACTATTTATTTACAAGAAAAATAGTTTTGTTGTCAATTTGAGAGGAAAAATGTATAAAAATTCAGTTACATATGTTGGGGTTATCACACTGAGTGTTGGTATTAATAAAATAGTGCTCGATAACAGAGCTATTAAATATATATATTAATAAATATACATTTTTTTTTCCTCACCAGTAGCACAACAGTTTCATGCTCAACACAATCTTTAGGTGCCAAGTAGAGACTGACCATTACATAATGTAAATTTTAACAAAACATCTGGTTAATGCAATGTTGATGCAGTTTGTATACTATACAGGCATTTTTTTTTTTAAGGAAAAAAAAAAAAAAATATTTAAACATTATTTATATTTTATATTTAAAATGGAGTAATTTTTTTTTAAATTTTGAATTAAAAGACAACTATATATATATATATATATATATATATATATATATATATAAAAAAAAGGTTATAATCTACAGTAGAAATTAATCTGTATCAACATTTATTCATTGTAGAAAAACAATTAAAACAATTAAATAACCGTAACTTATTAAACAAGAGAAATGAATTGATGGTCAAATGCAGGCATGAAAATAAATACCTATATTGATCCAGATTAATTTCTACTGTAAAAAAAAAAAAAAAAAAAAAAAAAAAAAAAAAAAAAATAAAACATACCTACACTACACAAAGGTTATTGCCAATTGTGGAAATAAAATAAGATTAATTCTATAAATTGAGATAATACCTGAATCAATTATAAATCAATCCAGCTCTTAAACCATTTTGCTAAATTAGTTATCAAATTTTGAAGGATTAATTAGAAGAAAGGAAGAAGGGAAAATAATCCCATGGGTGAATGAGGTTTGTGTCTGAATGTCAATTCAGTAATGAATATGGGAAGGAAATGTAAATTTACCTTGAGAAAATCTTCTTTCAAATATACATCATTATCAATGGCTTCCCTGACAGGTTTGGGTCCTGTGGGTAAATTGACAGTGGCATGGGCCACATCTGGGAATTGGGTAGATGAATGATTGCCCCAGATGATGACGTTTTTCACATCCTGGGAACCAACACCACAACGAGCAGCAATCTGGAGAAAATAAAAAAAGTTTACTTTGATGATAGAGGACAAAAACAATGGAGAGAGAAGATAAACGAAAGAACCTTATAGAAGAACATGAAAATCCAACAATGTTGCCATGGTTACCTGATGCTGTGCCCTGTTCTGGTCAAGACGTGTGAGGGCCGAGAAATTCTCAGGAGGAATATTTGGAGCATATTTCATGCAAATCAAAGCATTTGTGTTGGCTGGGTTACCCACGACAACCACCTGGAGCAAAGAAGCAAAATAAAAAATTAATGATATTTGGTTAAATGAAAATCTCAAACATTTAAAAAGACTTAAAAATCTTTGAAAATTGCAAATTTAGTCTTTTAGTTGTTATTTAATAGAAAAAAAAAATTAAAGTGGGAGGGAATAATGAAAAAATAAAAAAAGTTTTAAGAATTATGATTGAAGATTAATTTTCAAACACTGAAGAAAATGAAAATTTGGAACTAAAAATTTTGATGTCTGTGAAACAAGAAAAGAACCAAATTTGCTTTTGTTCATTTACTCACTTTGACAGTTTTCTTGGCAAACTCATTAAGGGCTTTGCCTTGTGCCTGAAAGATCTTCACATTTGCTGCTAACAAATCCTTTCGTTCCATGCCTTCACGACGAGGCATGGCACCCACCAACATGGCCACATCAATGTCTTTGAAGGCCACCCCAACATCTGATGTCGGAATGATTTCTAGTAACAAAAAAAAAAAAAAAAAAAAAAAAAAAATAAAATAAAATAAATAAATAAATAAAAATAAAAAATTATTTTTAGCAAAGTAAATTTAAAACAATTCCAAGCCAGATTCTTTAGCTCTGTCATTCTGCTTTGGAGTTTGAAGAAATAATCCTCTTGGTCTCAAAATTCCTTCTTTTGGGTTAGCCAAAAAGTTCTTTCACTAAATAAAACTAAAAGAATATATTGAACAAATGTATTTTCATTTTGTTCCACTATTTTCTGCCATATTTCAGACAACTTCTTAATTCTATTTTCCCAGGACTTTTTTTTTATCTTTCCCAGCAAGAACTTCTCTAGATGTCTTTTACATTCTTCCAGGGAATTGAAACTTTTTAAGAGAATTCTATAAGACTAGAATAAATGGTAATCATGAATATGCAATATCTGCAAAATACACCATCACTGACTTCTTTAAAAACAAGTTAATATGAAAGCTGTGTCAAAAATTGAAAGTGATCTTTTTGAATGAAGTTAAAACTTAAACGCTCCTCATGCCAAAGACACAGACATTTTGGTCTAACCAATATTTAAAATAATATCAGTTCCAACTTTAGAAATCCTGGCAGTAAACCACCAAGTGTCAGTCATAACAAATCCAGACAAACAGAGCTTCTTGGTAAATATCTGAGGTTGTCACAAATGAAAGACAAGCCATCACTTTTACCAGCAGGAAGGCAGTTTGAGGTTGAAGTGTTAGAAGCACAATTTTTCAGTTTTACAAAAGTCAATTTGTAGAATTGCACTAGCATCGGTTGACAATTAAAAAAAAAAAAAAAAAAAAAAATCCACCAAAAGAGAAAAACCTAGGCAGCCAGAGAGGAAGAATCCAATCACAAAAAAGGAGATAAATTTTCATTTTTGCAAATTTCCATTATACAGCTCTGTACATATCAATGCTCAACTCCTCATAACCTGAATTATGTCTACACTGCCCAAATATATGATGACATCATTGCAAATAATGCAGAAGTCATGCAAATACAGAGTCTTTGAGAGGTGATATTTACAGGAGTGGTTTTGTGCACATTGAGTGCTAAAAGCAATAGAGAATAAATGGAGTTTATGTTGGTAATTGTAACAGACAATGAAGAAGAATTGTAAAGAAGTCCCCACCCTCTTATCAGATGGGAGGGATATATAAAGCCTTTAGTTTCTAATTTCCTAACCCAAATAAGTGCCATGAATGCCGATTTTCTAGGAGCAACACAATCTTGTTATTGATCAAGTGCCAGACTAAGTTAAGTACAGAAAATAATTTTATATAAACTAAGCCTGTTTGATGATGAAGGTAGTTGGGTATTTGCAACAAGTGTTTGTGATTCAAAGGCCTGGATTATGAATGGCAAGATTCAAGATGATTGCTACACAATTGGCCTTTTGATTACCTCCAAATTGAAATTATTTAACTAATTAAAAAAGAAACAAAACAAAAAGGTAGAGATTTGGTAAACAGAAACAATCATTCTTATGTACAAATGCAAGGAGACTTTCTTGTGAAAAGAAAATGGTGAAAACCCCAGAATTTGCTTAAGTATAATCTATGTCCACAGTCCTGGGTCAGACTTTAACTGGCTAGACATGAGTTTCAATTCCTGTCTGAATCAGTGTGAACAAAATGAGTAAAACTGACAAATTTTAACTTTTATGTCCACCCAAAAATGGTATGTAAAAGGATGGTTTTTCCTTTGACACTGCTATTATTTTGTAATATCTTCACTTCCTCAGCAATCTTTATTTACAAGATTATAAAAACATGTGCATCAAGTACAATGCGATATTTATTATTTACTATTTTATAAAGAAATAAATGTGAAAAACCCTTTTATTCAAAATAATAAAAAAAAAAAAAAAATCAAAAATATGTAGACCATCTACAATGCAATATTTATTATTTACCATTTTATAAAGAAATATGAAAACAAGATTTTTATTCAGAATTTTATAAAAAATATCAAATCAATTGCTGCAGAAAAGAAAAACCCGGAAAATGCATTTTTTTCGAAATTTATAATTGCAGTTACTCATTATCTGTTTATTTAAATTTTCTTAGACATTTTTATAAATTTATGATTAAAAAAAAAAAGAAAAATTCTTTTCGTATTTATTTTTTTATAAAATGATAAACATCTCATTGTATTAGTTGGTTCACATTTTAAGAATGTTGTAAATATAAAATTATTCTTGTAAATGTACAATCTAATAAATAAATGTTTAATATTTTTGTTATAAATTCTCAAAGAACAAAGAAAATGTATAAATTCACTTTCATATGTCTGGATTTTATTAAAATTCTAATCATTGGTTTTTAAAACAGACATTGCCAAGAGAGTGAAGGAAGTTAAAATAATAATGTTTCAAGGAGAAAACTGTCCTTTTGACACTGTTTTATTGCGGGCATGACCGTCAAAGATTGCCTAAAATCCTGTTGTTGTACATTCAAGAAAGAAATGAAAGAAAATAACACCAAAACAAGAGAACACAGATCCTCTTTGCAATATATTGGGTTCACTTGGCACGGTCTGGTAGGATAGAATAGGTTAAGTAGCACTTTGGTCATTTTTGCTGCCGTCTTCCCTTTGGCTAGCAACAACTCTGACTGCAACGGTTTTCTACCAACCCCTATCCCTATCTCTACATCACAATGAAGAGCTTATAACTGGTAATTCTAGAATGGCACCTGACTATATAGGCTCTCAACTGGAATTCTATACCTTCCAGTTGAGTGTCACTTGATCCTGAACATTTTACATTTACTTAATTTTCCCCACACCTTAAACAGCAGGCTTTGAAGTTTTCATATCTAGATTTTACTGGTAGTCATAAAACACCATGCTCTTCAGGTTCAGATAAAATCCTTTACAGCCCACTTGACTTCATGGGTGTCCCAAGTCATTGAAGCCAGGTCCCATTGTGTTACAATGTCAATTACTATCAAATTTGAATATGAAATATTTTGTAAAAAATGTAATCTATTTAAAAATAGAGATCATTGATCATTTTTAGGAGCTGGTTTATCAAAATAACATGGATTTTTATTCAAGTAGAGAAAAAAAATTTGGCAAGATCTAAAAAGTTGTCTGAAGCTGCCCAATAGCGAAAATTCAAATAATATAAATAACAGATTTTAAGAACAACACTTACATTCTGCAATGTCTTAGATGGGAAGGGGCGGAGGACAAAATTATTGGTGAATAAATACTCATTGCAACATGTATATTCCAGCCTCTCACAAAGTTTGATTTTTTTTGTCACTGAAGATCAATTTTACATCCCCTATGAGGATCATCAAACAATCTATGCATGCAAGGTTACTTAGTAAATCAATGTGTTTTTTTGTTTTTGTTTTTTTAAATATAGCACAGAAAAAAAATGTGAAACTAACAAAATTTTGATTTCCACAAAAATAAAACTAAATATTCAAAGCAAGGACCAATTTTTATAATTTTACCATTTGTCTTTGTTTGAATATTGCTGCCATACCTGGTCTGATGCTCCTGCTATATATCTAAAGATTCTTGATAAAAACCAAAGAAGAATCTGCAATATTATTGGTCCTGAACTGGCATTTTGGCTTCAGTTACCTTCCCATTGAAGCTTCTCTGTGCCTTTTCTATGAACACTTTCATGGTAATTGTTCTAAGGAACTTTACTCGGTGGTACTTAGATTTTATGAATTTAAGTGCAGTACTAAATTGGCAGCTAGGTCTCATTCTTTTACAGTTGAAATGGATAGATGTAACCATAAGTTCTATGCAAGTTTCTTGTATTGTACGTCTTGCTTACAAAACTATCTCCTGTCTTCTTAATTCCTGTTCTTTTATTGTTCTCTCTCCTTAATAGTAGTTTTTCTCATATTCTCTAACACTCAGTAACTAGAAGTTAACCATTCTTGATATCCTAGTGCCTTTATTGCCTTGCTTGGGATAAAATGATTAAAAAAAATAAAATAAAAAATAAAATAAATAAATTCAAGAAAAACATTTTATAAAGTGGAGAGGGGGAGACAAGTCATTACAGATGAATTGCGGCCAATTTTGAACAATGTCTTGTATTTCCAGCTGTGAGATCTCATTATCTTCTGACTTTTGTCATTTGGACATTTCAGTCAAAAAATGTTTTTGCATCACTAAATTAACAACTCTTCCTGAGGAAACAAAGATGGAGAAATAATGATATCATGAGGTATTTTAAATGGCACCCTGTGTTATTGGTAAAGTTTAAAAACCTGAAGTCTGATCTGATGAAGACTTTGTTAGAAGCATTGCTATGGCTCCTGAAAAAATATTTTCTATGAAATTCAATATTGGAGAGATTTAATTAAATCCAACAAGCTAATAACAAGATACATCTAAAGTAGCTGCAGCCTAATTTTTTTCTCAAATACCTTTGACAAGAGGAAGGGCACAGTCAGCCAGCTCCATGACCACACCCTCAAGGACTCCCATCATTGGCTCAATGTCCAGAAGCACCAAGATGAGTGGCTGAAAGAACAAAACATAACTTTTTATTTAACAGCCAAGGATCTCTCCTTTACGCAAAATTTTGCTAACTTTGTTTTTTGGGGGTTTTTTTTCTCTAAGATTGATATCCGGAAACAAATTCCTACAATTTTTAAAAATAGTTGAGTTATATATATTACTTCAAATGGTATTATAGTGGACATGGGTTCAATCCCTGTCAGAGAATACATTTTCTTTACTAAGATTTCTCAAATGTTCAAGCTGATAGATATAATACACACTGTTTAATAAATAAATAAAAATGGGGAGTCTATTTCATATAAGAAGTGCCCACTATAATAATGTTTGAGGTAATAAAAATTCATTAATATATATATATATATATATATATATATATATATATATATATATGTGTGTGTGTATTATATAAAAAGGTACCTCCAAAAATTTGTATACCTATGGTTTAAATGCATTTTTCATAAAGGAAAAACCAGTTTTGAAGCTTTCCCCCAGCTTCAATTGAAAGTGAAGGATTAAATTTTCTAATTCCAGGAAAAAAAATACTGTGGAGTATTTCAAATAAAAAATATATAGCTAAGATAATGATAAATAATTTTATTAATTATTAATATTACATTAAGTTATTACATTTTTAATTTAATAACTGAGATAATAATTAAAATTATTATCATATTAATAATTAAATTACCTCATTCAGTTATTGGTTAAATTGATAAATGAGAATTTTATTATTTCAATTTAATTTTCAATTTAATAACTGAGAGTGAGATAATGTAATAACTATCTCACTCAATTATTAAATTTTTATATTGGTAACTGAGATTATATAATTTTAATTATGTTATCTCAGTTATTAAATTAAAAATTAAATTATTAACTCTCTCAGTTATTAAATTTTTAAACTGAGATAATATATTTATATTCTTTATTATTAATTGCTATACTTCAATGATTATGAATTGTTAAAGTTATTTTATTTAAAAAAACAAAAACAAAAAAAACTAATAAATAAAACAAATTATGCATGACACACACCATGAAAAGTATACACACTATATAAATACATAGCAAAATTAAAAATATTTAGTGAAATAGGAAAAAAAAAAAAAAAAAACTTTAGAAATCATCCCATCAAGATTTAAAAAGAAGCCTGTTGAAATGTACAGACGATGAAACACGTAAGTGAAATGAAAGTATTGCTCGCAGCTGAAAACCTTTATGTCAAGGAGTTTTCTCTAAGGAGGACAAGCCTTGAAACAAGTGATCTTTTAACTGTAATATCACTTATGATACACCATACTAAAAAAAAAAAAAAAAAAATTGAGGCAAAATCAAAAAAAAATCTTTAATTATGGTAAAAAGATATGGGAGTATGATTCGTATTTGATTTTTAATTTTCTTCAATAACTTAATAACCTACCTTGTACATTGTTTAAACTTAAAGTGAAAGCAATTCTTGTAAAAATTAATTATTCAGAGAAAGACTTTTTTTTTCTTCAGCCAATAATGTTCTTAATGTATATTATTTATGAACGCAAATAAAAGCCTATCTAATTAGATGGTCTTATTGCAGTTTTTATTTTATGATTTGGAGCAGATTTTTAAAAAAAATTGATGATTTACTTTCTCCAACAAATTCTGCTTATAAAACAATTTTTGTACTTTGAAATTCTAGAAAATTTCATGAAATTAAGTTACCGGGAGTTGGGCGGTAGAAACAGTGGTGAAAAAAAAAAAAAAAAAATATATATATATATATATATATATATATATATATATATATATATATATATATATATAAGATTTTCTAACAATAAAAATTACAAAAATAAATTCATTCATTTTTGAATAAGTCCTGAAAGTTTCATTAAAATCAGACAATTATTTGATTTTTGCAAGAATTTCCAAATTAATTTTCATATTTGTTTTAGACTGGAAACTGCTACACTAAAAATGCCCATTACCACAAGTTTTACAAACAAACAAAAAAAAAAATTTTTTGAGACAAATTTTGAACATGTTAGAAAGGGAAAAAATTTTGAAAATAATTAAAAAAATAATTTGTTCATTCCTCTTATCAATAACAAACATTTTGAGGTTAAAACTTTCTTTTTATTAACTTTAGGGGCTTTTATCATGGTATACTGTTTTTTTTGTTTTTTTTTTTAAGCGAATTATTTGAGGTATATAATTATATACACACACACAGTAGCAGATTTAAGCAGTACTTTAGTTCTCTACAAAATTTATCCCTAACTTAACCAAAAATAAATTTTTAATCACATTTTTTAAGTTTGTCATATCTTGTTTAAAAAAAAAAAAAAGGGTCCAACAAAACCCAGTTCTAGGATTGGCAAAAAGACAAAATATTTATTGCCTTTCAGTTTTAAACATTTTTCTAGTTCCAGTTTTTATTAAATTTAAGGTTAAAATTATTTGCTACACCGCTTGGCACAAGTTCACAAGTATAGGACACCCAGTGAGCACTGAACTCATGACAAAGTCAACCGAACCAGTGAACAAACTATTATTCACACCACTTGCTACCCAGTTAAAATTAACATAATTATCTCCCCTTTACAAGCTTTCTTCATAAGTACAAATAGTCATTAATAAACTCCATTTGGTACAAGGCAACAAAAGCAGCACTAGCTATGTTGGCCTGTAAGATGGTATGCTGCTGCTATCATTATGATTTCTTGAAGGAAAAGGAATTTGGTAATAGTTCCACATTTAATTTCTGCCATAATCTGTTGTCCCCGTTCATTTGGTTTGACTGAAAATTTCTTTTTAACATCCAAGCCTACAGCAATTCCAGGACAATAATAAAGAACAATTGCCTTATTTTCTGTGTCAGATTGCAGATAACAGCACAGCAACTCTTTGTAAGAAAAAAAAAAAAAAAAAAAAAAAAAAGAATTAAGGGAATCACTCAAAATTGACCAAAACGCAGTTATGACATACCACAACAAAATACAACAGGTAAAATGGGCAAAAGAAAAAAAAAAGTATACCAAAGAGAAATTTAAGCTTAGTAAGATAATGATTAATTCATCCCACCCCACCATTTGTTGGAAGTGAAATGTGTAATACTAGGTGACATCATCTGCAAATGTTTTGATCTTACATTATTTAAGTGCTTTATGACTATTAGAAATATGAAGTGCATGTGGTAAGTAATTATTGGAGCTTGATTATTTAATATTCCTTTAAGGTGGTATCTCCACCCATAATAGATTGTGTGTTCATGCGTTATATTTTTGCTTAACATTTGTGGGAGGAAAAAAAAAAAAATTATAACCAGGTTTGTTTCTACATGATACTAATTAATTTAAAGGGTTTTCCTAATGGAGCTCTCTTCTGTACTTTCTACTGTGAATGAACAAAACAACATCAAATTGGTCCGCCTACCTCCGACCTAGTGTATATTAAAAATAATTCATTTAAATAAGTAGACAAAAAGCCCCTCCTCCTCACCCGCCCAAAAAGTTGTCTCCATTGGAAGATACTGATTAGCAAAGATTTTGAAGGCCATTGATAGTAAATACAGTTAGCACTAAGTGCTCCATTAGTAAGGCTTTGAACCTGTTTAAAGTCAATATCAATAAAAGAATAACACACCTGATAAATTTTTAAATATAAATTAAATGCAATTTTTTGCATGTTAATATCCTTCTCAAAGGGTAACTATTTAAGGTTTGCTAACAAAGTAGACTATCTTGTGAGCGAGATATTTACTACTAAGATGCTTAACGTTAATGCTCAAGTCAAAGAAAGAAAAAGAGTTCAGATTTCAAATGCTGATTTTTCAAGGCAAGCATCTCTTACTACTAAAATTAATGTGTGTGTGTATATACATGCATGCATACAGTTTTCATAATAATTATTTGCTCTGTTATTACATCAAGCTCTCTCTGGATCTATGTCCTCTTTGGAATAACCCATATGGATTATTATAAAAGATTATAATAAAAACATTTGGAAATCGCTACACAAAAGCTTTCATGTTTCAGTACTAATGATTGTATTTCTTCAGGTGATGGTAAGTAACGAGTGATTAAATGATTTTTAAGGAAATTTAAAAACAAATTGTTACCTCTTTTTATAAAAGGATTATGACTTTATAGAATAAATCATTTCCTGTATTGTAATTCAATTAACTTTTGCTAAAAAATAATGAAGGTTTAAAATCGTATATAAGTATAGTAGTACTATGACTTTCTGGAGCCTTCTAGAACCTATGTTTGTATGTTATGCTATAAACTGTTAAATGCATTAAAAAATATAAGTCCTATCCAATAAAGCTTCTGAAATTTTTTGATTTTTTACCCTTATTGTGTATATGGTAAAATCAAATTTTTGGTTTAGAGGTGACCTTTTTATCAAGAAGTAAAACAAATTAATGCCTTTTTTCATTACATTTGAACAAGTTTGATTCATGACACAGAAACATAGGGTTACAAAAAAGTCAAGCCTAATATTTTTTTTTTTTTTTTTTTTTTTTTTTTAAGAAGAAACCTTGAACTCTGAGATAAGCATTAACATATTTATCTCTCTAAATAGAAGATTTCCATTGACATACATACCTGTTTTGTTCCAAAAACATCTCCTTTAGCCACAGAGAAGAGCAGCGAATAAGCAATTTGGCCAGCAGCTCCAGTCACTAATACTTTGATTGGGTCAGACTGAAAAACAACAACAAAAAATTTCAATTTCAACATATACAAACACCTGAGAAACGTGCTCCATTTTCCTATGATCTTCTTTGAATAAGAAGATACCAGGGAGAGAGAGGTTATTAAATATATATACAATTCCACTTAATCAGAGCCTATTAACCCAGTTGTCTTTTTCATTAGAACTTCACATCTATACGTTTCTTTCCTATCTATAAAATGGTCTCCATTTATCCAGGGAGGATATTTGATAAGATTTCTAACAGGAAAAAAAAAAAAAATTATTTTCGAGTTAATCTATTGTGTTTATGACAGTAAGGTTGAAACTGAAACAAATTCTTTCAGTGTTTAGTAAAAAAAAAAAAAAAAATGCCCATGCATAGGTCATGACAGATTGGTTGAGACTGAATCCAAAATAGCTCATACAATAAATAGACGAATTATGATTATGATTAACAGAATAAAAGGTGAGTCTTATTCCTCACCCATGTGCCACTTCAATAGATACACTGCCATGTCAATTAAGGAGAGAGAGAGCAGTAGGTAAAGCTAATGGTAGGTGGCACCATCATAGAAATGTCTAGACATATATCAATTTTGCTCTGACATGTGATAAGTCAATGTAGATACAAGTTAAGCGGGTCAAAGAAAGGCAACATTAATTATTGTAGTTTGAACAGGACACATTCCATTTCTGAAATTCAGTGGGATTTGACATTCCTCAACCTACAATGTTGCAGGAGGGGGGAGGGGGTTCTGTCAATCAGGGATGGAGATTAGCATCATTCCGGGGGACAATAAAACATTAGTTTGACTGGTTAGGGGTTTTAGGATGATGCCAGGACAACAATATATTTTTAATTAAAATTATACTTAAAAAAAAAAAAAAAAAAAAAAAAAAATATACTAATTACTTAAAATAATGAAAATTCTTATTTCTCATCAACAGTGTCAGTCTTTTAATAAATGGAGGATAGAGCCATGCACACAATCAAATAAATGAAAACACTTCTTTTTAAACTGTTTAATGAAGCCTCAATGAAGGTTGACAGATTTAAAATTTAGATATTTGTATTATTGCAAGAACTAAATTTTGCTTTAATAAACAAAAGGAAATTGTATTTTTTCTGGCAATTTTGGGGTAAAAACTTGAAAGACTCATTAACATTTTATGTTTTTGTCATAAAACTAAATTGAAAATATAAAGGAGAACTTGAGTTAAATGAATTTTGATAATCTTCTTTGATTGTGAATAAATGAAAGACACCAATATTCTTTATATAGAAAATGCTTCAGGCACAATTCTTGAAGTCTGCTAAAAGTTACTCTGAGCCTGAAAATTAATTAATAAAGAACATTTCCATGTAAAATTATTCAAGATGATTTAACCAAAATGTCTGAATAAAAATAAAGATGTGATTTTTATAAAAGTGACATTAAAATTTAACTGTTTTTACATTTATTCATTTTTAAAACATTAATATTTTAGGTTCTTAATTTATTTCCTAAATATTTTGATTTTTTTTATTCTACTAACAACAGAAATGACAAAAAAATTTTTGATTTTGGAACAGTTTACAATGTTTTGTTTGCAGAACAATTCTGGGACAATAGTTAAAAAAAAAAAAAAAAAAAAAAAAAAAAAACGTCAGTCTGAAGCTCTGCCAGGAATACCTGATGGAAGACATTACCACCCACAAGCATTTAAGGATTGCAATCAAAAACCTCTCACAAACATTGTCTTTGTTAACAAAGAATCAACAATGACTTGCAGAATCTCCACATTCAGTGAAGAAGGTACCAGATTCATATCCAAAAGGTCATTTTTCGAGATAGGAGAGCAGAAGGCTCACCAGAGTGACCCTGTTGACAATTCAGACACAGAACTTAATCTAGACTTGTAATGTCACTAATTGGACCTTGGATGACTGAATGTTTAATTGATTGATTCACCCATTTTATCAACCCTTTGTAGGTTATTTAAAGCCAGGAAATATTTTTAGATTGTAAGAATTTTTTTCTTTTTGAGATAATAATGGTTTAGTGAGACAAATTTTACTAATTAACACAACATAGCTGGAGGAGGAAGAGGTGGATTCTTACCTTTCCCAAGGCTATTTGTGCACAAGTGAATATAACAAACCCAACAGGAACTCTGCTCTCCAATTAACAATTGCGAACCATTATCCATTACATGACCTGCACATCAAAACTTACAGCACCTGGTATTCCCAACCAATTACACATCTAGGTACTCAACATTGCTTAATTTCTGTGATTGTAGAGGAAACAGTGGTAGAGCTTGGGTGTGGCAGAAACTCACAAAGCCATTGACACCAGTTGTCAACAAAGCACCATGCAGACAAATGTTAGTTCTAAGAATATGAGTTCACACAGCATAGTTTAGGTTGGCTGTTCTGCTTAAACATGGCACTGACTGGTGACTGCTAGGCTGCAGCGTTTCAGGATAATTTGCATGAATCCATGAACAATGGCTTATCCCAGCAGGATAATGCAGTGTGTCATCAGTTGCCCAGAGTTAGTTTGAGGAACATTCTTGAGATTTCCAACAAATGGTGTGGCATCTGCATTCAGCAAACATGTCTCTCATTAATAAATGCAGGAGACATTTTTGTTCCATCTTTTCATAATTGCTGAATCATTTTAAAAATTACACAAATTTTGCTTTAAGTGAAACTTATTTTTTTTGCTGAATTGCTGTGATAATTTGTTGTTTTTGGATATTTTATCCCAAAGAACATGTGAAATTGGTTATCTTCAATCCATACAGGCCAATGGGAAGTTGATTTAAAGATATTTGCATGACAAAAAAAAATTACATGAGGTTTTTTTTTTTTATTGTTTATCTTAAAATATGGCTCTGTTTCACTCAGGTTCTAATTGGACAGTTATTTTGCAGTGGTCATATAAAATTCTTCAGTGATCATCTATTAAATGTGTATTCTTATCCCTTAATACTTGGTGGGCCTGTAGAGCATGTATTGGGAACCTTCCCAGCATTTTCAATTTAGGGTGTTGGCAACCGTAACCCATTCATGTACAAGATCCCCCATACTTATATCACAGAGAGATATGGACATGGCAAGGTTCAACATCTCTCCAAAGGTCAATCAAACACTTGTGGAAGAATGGTCACAATTACTGCACTCAACCAGGTAATAGGCAGTTCTACAGGACTTTTGGTAGGCTGTTGTGTACACACACACACAATGCAAACAAAAAGATGGAGAATACACATCCACATCAGAGAAGGTGTTAAAATGAATTCTAGAGAAAAATATGGTATTGCAGGCCATTATCACCTAGACTGACACCCAACTGATCCCATTCCTATTATTGTAACCTCATGCCAGACAAAAATGAAATTTTTGTCTAAATTCCTAGGATGAGGAGCTATCATTATTTACATATGAACTGATGTCTTTATCTTTGTTGTTATCACAGTTTTGGCTATTGTGTCACCTAGACTTCTTCATATATTATTAATTGAACTGGCTAACCATCAAACACCTGAAATCCAATGGCCAAAATGTTGTTATAACAATAAAAGATGAGGACATTAGTCCAAAATCATATCAATGAAACTGAAATTTGTTTGTATCTAAAGCACAGCCACTTATTATGTTACTGTTGCGGCAGTTGAATTAGTTTATCCAGGATTTTAAGCTGAATACTTGAAATGAAACCCCAAATTTTACTTGGCTGTAAAGCAATAAAATAAAAAGCGAATTAGAAAGATAAATTTTATTGATTTTTTTGTCCACATATAATCAAAACAGACATGAATGTACTTCTGTCTATATATCTGAGATGAGGTATTGTAATTATTTACACTATTTACATTGTTCGAACTGTTGTCCTCATCTTTGTTGCCATATTCATGACGTTTCAGCTGTTGTACACTTCGGCCCTGGAACTAGAACAATGTACCCTGCTGGATGGAATAAAGGGTTCAGTTCGAAGTTCCAATCTCGTGAAGAAGGCCAGAGTATGAAACGTCATCAAGATGAGGACACCCATCCTAACAATGTAAATAATGTAAATGAATGTAGTTCAATATTTTCTTCAGACTAGCATCCCTCATTGTTGCTATTTTAACCTCCCCTAATTTTGCCTGAAGATTTTCTCAGCTAAATGTTCCACCTGGTAATATTCCAGTTTCCTTAATTTATAGCACCAGCCACAAATCTTTGTTACTTGAATTTAGTAAAGAGGGAAAAAGTTGGAAGGTGCTGGGCTTACTGACAAGTTTGGAGAGTGCATTAACCAACAGATTGATACAAATCAACAAAGGCAAGTATAGAAAATATAGCAGATAGGCAAGCATTTCATTGAAAGAAAAATGAGAGACTGCCTAAAAAAAAAAAATATACAGCCTAGTGGATTAAGGTGTTGGTTTATGAATTAGGCAACATAGTAATTGTGAGTCTGTCGAAATATGAGGACGAGACAAGTTATTTCCCCTTGACATGGACAAATGAACAAACACAAGCTATCCCTGTTGATTAAATAAAGGGTTCAGTTCAAAAGGCACAATGGCTGAAATGTGATAAAGATAAGGACATTAGTTAAAATGCAAATGATAGAAATATATTGTTTTAATAAGTCCATAAAAAAAACAAAAAAAAAGATTGATGTTAAAAAAAGGTTCTTTAATGGCTATATGTGTATTGTAAGATGGTTGTAACCAGATAAATTTGCAAGCCTTTAACAGCAATTTCTTATGTGGTGCTCCAGGAATGTGATCTTGTACCAGCATTAGAGTAAGACTACAAACAAGCAAAACCAGGTGTTTTGAGGTTTAACTGTTAACATAGAATAAACTTTAATCAAACACATTGTGCTTGTGTGTGCCACTTGAATATTTTACATGCCATTAAATGCAGGTCAGCAATCATTCCTTTAGATTCAATTTATTTTCATTCAATTCTTTTCGCCTCAAAAAGCAAAATCACTTTTCTAAAAGAACAATATACAAATTCGTTATTGAAAAGAAAACTAAAATTAGCATCAACCCCTTTACAGCTGAAGAATTAATATAAAATGACCTTCAAACGTGACCAATACAAAAAAAAAAAAAAAAAAAAAAAAAAGACTTCATTCCCACCCCAACTCAGACTACAAGAAATATAATCTTGGACAGACTTTGGCACCCTTTCTCAGTCATTATTGAATACATTGTTATTTGGTTTAACTATTCAATTTCCGAGTAGAAATAGGACACAAATTTAACACCTCATTTCTTAATCGCTTCTAATCATGTGACAATAATGGTTGTATTTGCAATATTTCTTGGTAGACACACACAAAATATGAGTTATTCTCCAAAAATAATGCCACTCATTTCTTCAGTATCTGTCTATATTTCTGAGATGAGGTATTATGCACACTATTTACATTATTCAGACTACTGTCCGAATCTTTGTCACCATATTTATCACAACATTTCAGCCATTGTATGCTCCGGCCTTCTTCAGGTGGTTGGAATGTTGAACTAACCCTTTATTTCGTTCACTGGTGCAGACTGTTCTAGTTCCACATGCCATGTTTAATGGATGTCAGTTATCAGTTATCTCCTGTTAATTCCCCTCTCCAAGTTCTCCACTGCCTTAACCAGGTATTGAACTCACACTCTTTGAGTCCTGTCACTGGATCTAACTAACACCTTTATTCACTATGCCATGTGTCATTGAGGACACATGACACAGTGGATAAAGGCATTAGAGTGTGTGTTCAATACCCGATTAAGACCTTTCTGCCTATAATGCACCATTAATCATCATATATAAATAGTAGAGTCCAAACACAATACACACAGCCTGAAGATTGCATTCAAGCATGAAACCAAATCACTCCTTGGTGTTGACATCCATATTGACTTTTATATTTACATACACTATCCTTTATATTGAGCACTTTTACCATAAATATAGCATGTGTTGCAAAAATGCAGATATAAATAAAAATAACTGTAAAAAAAACGAGAATGAAAACAAAAGGAAAACTTTACTGGCACATTTCATCCACATGCCTTGATAAAGTCAATCAGAGCATGAAACATTGGTAAAAAAAAGCTTCAGGTTTAAAACCTGCCATATTTATAGAAGATTGCTTGTTATTGAAGATAGAATACACACACACACGTATTATATATACACACGAACACACAGGTATATCTCACCCTACGTCATGACTTAAGTCAAAATAACCACACCCCATTGCCTATTACAGTATTTATGATATGTACATATAGTATTCTGAATAAGATAATTTCCACCTTATCTTCCAGCAACATGGCCTTACACTTAGCATTAACACTGAGATAAGAAACTTCAGAGCTATGGTCAAAACGTATTCTAAATCACAATTGAAATGTAATTCAAAGAACATCAGAGCACAGATGTAAACAAGTCAATTCAAAATCTGTGTTGGAGCAGAAACAACATGAGTGCTACCTGTATATATATATATATATATATATATATATATATATATATATATACACACACACAATGCCTAATATTTTTAAATTTATTTATGATTTTATGTGTTATTGCTATTTAATATTTTGATGTTTCTAATATTTTTAATGCCTGACAAACTTGAGTAAAACAACCTAAGGCAAGTTTTATTTTTCCATGTAATATTTAAGAAAAAAAATGATGTATCCTCAAAACAACTTAAACTGAGGTATCACTGTATAAATACATACATATAGACCTTGGGAATCAACACTGCAGTTACATTCCTTTTATGTGATATTCTTGATCTAAAGATCACATTAAAACTGCAGTGTCACCATACAGTGTTGATTCCTATGCCCACATTGTCTATCTGTGTGCATTTGTAAAAGATAATTCCTAACATTTATTAGCGTAACACATGTAATATTTTCCAGCACAAACAAGGTTTTTGTTTTGTTTTAACACAAGAGAAAATATGTGGAATACATCAAATCAAACTTTAAACAAAATTAAAATTCTTTGGCATCAATGCACAGAATATTTTTTTTTTAAACGCTGATATTTGAACGCATTTTAATAAAGTTTCCTTGATAGGAAGAAAATACAAAATGATAAACTCCAAAATCAACGAATAATCAACTCCTATTGTCATTAGAGAGAAATAATAAAATCTTTAAAAAATATATTCTTACGTTGACAGCAGTTATCAAAAAAGCAGATCAATAAAAAAAGTTAACTTATGTGATTAACAAACAGGAGTAAGATTGATAATCTAATGAATCACTGATTATCTATCAATATCAGTTGGGGAAAAAACCTATTAAACATTCGGTACAACTAAAAGATGCACTTCTTTTTTAAGTTTTTTTTAAATCAGTTTGTGTAAATTACGTAACCTATTACTTGAATTTTGACAGGACTGTCTTGTCAAGTTGTCATTACATTAATTAATTCTCATCAATGTAAGAATTTTTTAAACGTTTTATGGCTTAAAAGAAGAAAAAAAATTATAAAATCGTAATTAAAACTAAAAAAAAAAAAAAAAAAAAAAAATCATAACAGACCATTATTATTGCAACACGTCCACACACGAATTCCTGCCTGTGGCGAGTCGGGGTACAAAAGAAAGAATATTCTCTGTAGTGGTCAACAATGTTGAGTACATCCAGAGAGCGACCCAAAACTTCGGGGAATTTAAACACAAATGGGCTTTGGGGACTTTTATTGCTACCTTATGAGATCGCTATGCCTATGGCCAAGACGACTACTTCAATGGAGGAAACGAGGTATAGGGAGTATTTTTAAATGAATCATTTTCCAACTCTTCCCCCTTGCCGGTCTAATTCCCTCAACTTTCTGGTAAAACGTGTTACAAACTGCTGCTACTATTACTAAATACAAGCATTAATAACTAATTTAATCACGGGCCAGTGAATCTTTTGAAAATAAGTCTCCTTTGACAGTAAAAGAATGTTTTATCAGGGTTTGTGCGTGTAATTCATTAGAAAAGAACGGTTTTTGGATTTAGTTTGTCCTCCTCACAAAAAAAAAAAAAAAAAAAAAAGAAGAGGAGAAACTTTTCTTCTCCGTCCTTCATAGGATTTTTCTGAAAGGGTGAAGGTCACTTGCATGAAATCCTTTCGTCGTAGTCTATAACTCAATTAAAAAAGCCTAAATTTAAATAAGATGGAGAGGTCTGGTGGTAAAAGACAAAAAAATAAGGATGAAGAGATGAATGGACTAATTTTGCTGAGATGAGAGGAAAAATAAATAACGGTTAGATTTTTCCCCAAAAAGAAAAAAAAAAAAAAAAAAAAAAAAAAGAAAAACATTGCTTATAAAAATAAACATTATAAAAAATAAAAGTTATAAAAAATTATTGATGAAAAATAAATATTAACCGTAAGAGAGAGACATTATACAAGGTGAAGTCGCATCGATTTTTCAACCATATTTTTTGTCTCATAATAAACTTTTGACAGCACTTCCTTTCCTCCCTGCCACACATGGAGGGTTTAAAAAAAAAAAAAAGTGATTAAACGTCAATCGATTTAAAGTGTAATCTTTGTTAAAAGTAAAAAAAAAAACAAAAATTAAAAATGATTTTGTCGGCTTATCGTAAATTCTACTGAAGACAAACAGTAAAAATATTGAACAGTCAACACCACGAAAATCTTTTTTCTTTTAAATACCATTTTTGGGGAAATCAACAATCCCCGGAATATTAAAAATAAAAAATGATTTTATTTTTAAAAATGCTATCAAGATTTTTTTTTAAGTGATGTTCTAAAATTAAAATCCTCGGAGGGGATGGAAGATTGTGTAGCGATTAAAATCAAATCAATCCATCGATATTGGATCAGTTAATGTTTTCTTTTCTTTTATTGATAATCAAGTTTTTCCTAACACCCCCCCGCCCCCACTCCCACTCCTTGGGAACAAAATTTTGAAAGTCATTTTGAGTAATTCTACATCAAATATTGTTGACTTTATTAAATAAAATTAAAATTTGATAACATTATTTTCGCGAAAATCCAACAGACACCAATAATCAGATTTTATTTTTCACAACAATTTCCCAACCCAAAAAGTGCTCAAGGTCATTAAATTATGATACCGTAAGTAAGTCTGTTTAAAAAAGCTGGTAAATTGGAAATGGAAGAGTGCTACATCGGAAATGATTCCCCCACCCTTGGCATGCATGACATTCAAAAAGAAAAATTTTTTATTTAAAATTTAATTTAAAAATAAGATTCATTTTGGCACTGTTCAAGAGAAAGTGCACAACTATAAATTATTTTAAACAATTTTTAAAAAAAAAAGTTAGCATAAAATAAAAATGTCATTGTGAATTTAGATTTAAAAAAAAAATTAATAATTGTAGTTGCTGGAAAATACATAAAAAAAAAACTAAAAAGCAACAAATTAAAACAAGGACACTTTGAAAAGGTCATCCAGTGAAAACAAAATTACAAATTACAAGACTAAAAAAGTAAAAGAAATCTTTTGCTTTCCTAATAAAATATTTAAAAAGAAACAAGAGTTCCACTTAAACCACTTGAATACAAAACATTTTCCCAAATTTATAGCCAAGTTCTTGAAGAAGTCAACCTTGAAAGAGTAGCGAACTTTATTTAAAATTAAAAATATATGCTGTTCTGTTAGGAGTTCACCAGCAAAAATAATAAAAATAATTTGAAACAGGCAATTATTGCTTAAAAAAAATAAAATATATAAACTTAGTTTAATTTCAAAATTATAAGTTTACTAATACAAAACCGTGTTAAAAAAATAAGTTGTAAATTACAACTTGTAATTAAGTTTTTTTTTCTAAAAAAAGTTTAAAAAAAAAAAAAAAAAAAAAAAGTTTATCCAATCTACAAGAATTGATTTAAAAATTATAATTTAAGATTTTTTTTTGTTTATATTTTTGAAATTCTGTTGATTTTAAAGTTTGTTTTTTTTTTTTTTTTCAATAAAATCTTTACTAACAAAATAAAAACCACATCAAAAAGACAAACTGAACTAGATAATAATTCTTCAAATCAGTCTCAGATGCAAGCCTTTTTATTTTTACACCCTTTTTCTTGAACCTTGGCATCCGTAATTAAATTCTACAGTGAAACTAAAATTTTTAAGTCAGTTTTATTAATATATACACCCTTCAAGATGAAATAGAGGTTGAATCACTTAAAAAAAAAAAAAAAAAAAAAAGAACATGACCCTCATAAAATCGTAAGCATTATTTCATTAAAAATAAAATATGTACCAAATGCATAAGTGACTGAAGTGTCGGTAATTAAAAATGATTTTTATTTAGTTAGGCATCCTATTTTTTTCCTTCCAATAAGATTAAGAACCTCTTCTAAAAATTAGTGGATGGATTATTTATTAACTTTTATTTATTGTATACACTTTTTAAGTTTACATTTTAATTTTAAAACAAAGACGAACAACGAACATTCTTTTATTTATTCCGTTTTTTACTTGTAAATTTTAAATTTGATTTCCTCAACATACCTGCCCCCCAAATATGATGAATTTTAAATACAATTCTAATATTTTTCATATTTTAATTTTTTTTCTTTAAAAGACTAATACTGTTTTTTAGTGATTTTTTTTTAATTTTATTAAAAAAAAAAAAAAAAAAAAAAAAAAAAAAAAAAGAAATAGAAAAAATTATGACAAAAAATGTATAATTTGTATTGCAGGTGTAAGTAAGTAGTGTACTGTAGTACTACTAAAAACTAACTAGAGAGTTATATACCTACAGTCTATGTAATTAATATTTTATTTATTTATTAACATAAAATTATGTTTATTTGTTAATAAAATAAACTATTGTCAGAAATAGTAATAATAATAAATTAATTTTTAATTCATTTTCATATTTTTGTAAGTTTTATTAATTTATATAATTTTTTAACGAAAATATTTTTTTAGTACAGAACTTTAAATTGGATTAAGTTTTAAAATAATTTTGACAATTTTGGACGAAAATAAAAAATTTCATTTTTCTTATTTAAAGAAAGACAAGAAGAGAAACAAGAAAAGAAAACTTTTTTTTTTCTTACCATCTTTTATTGCTGCTGAGTTTTGGTCGACGATAAACTCTTGAATAATTATTATTAAATAATATTAAAAAGACAATAACCAGGTAAGTGAAAGACACACAATACCAACAAAGAAGTTGATATTTTCTTTTCTTTTTTTAAGAGCTTCGGTTTTGTTGTGTCTTAATGCCCCCTGTAAAGAACACGACGTGCCTTGCTTGTTGCCGGCTACAAAACTAAATGACTTCTACAAAGCGAATGAGGCATGCTGGGAACCTCTGTGTGGGGAGTCGTACACGTTTTAATGTCAGCACTTGCGAACCCGTCCAACTTGGGGTGAAAAAGAATTTGCGGGTACAGCCGAGAGGTCAAACACAGGAACGCTTAATAGTTTCTGGCCACCTGCCGTAGAGCGATGGTTTAAGATCGTCTCAATTAGAGTTGTACTCAGTCTAGTAAATACATACAAATTGCAAGTGAATTTACCTTCATTTGATTTTACAGCTGCTTGTCTTATTCCAAATGCCAGGTTTGTCAAAAATACCTACTTTTTAGACTTAGAGCAATGGTTAAAAAACTTATCTCAAATCAAAAGCTGTTGATTGGGAGTTTGTGGCAAACTCAGAAAGTTTCCAGACAGAATGCCAGTCTAAGAGAATGGTAAAAACAAAAGAAATAGCAGATAATTTCTATAATCATTGGGGACTATATTACTGTGAATTTGTGGCAGAAATACTCAATTTTAGTTAGTGGGTTTTGTAGTGAGTCCCAATAAAATAAAATATGAAAATAAAATATATAAGCAAAAAAAAAAAAAAAAAGAATTAAAATTAAAATAAGGCATTTGCTTTTCTTTAAAACCCTTATTTCTTTTTCTCTCTCTCACTTTATACTTCTCTCTCAACTAACGTGAAAGTGACCTTCAAATAAAAACGAGGAAGAAAAAGAAAAAGAGACTGAACCTGGACACAAAATGGTTGAAGTTTAGTTATTTGGGACTAAAAGCTACCAAAAATCAGAAAGACTCTATGCATTGGAAAATAAAATAATTTGGGCCAATCAAAAAATTAATGCAAAGAGACTTTTGATGTTAGCCAAAACCAAGGTTCACACCAGTAGTCTGGGAGCCTGGTCAAAAGAATATAAATTGACAGCCCTGAGGCAGAAGAGGGAAAAGGATAACCAGAGAAACCTGAACAAGAGAAGGGACCACCAGAGAAACCAGTCATGCATGTTGTGTGAAGAGGTTAATCAGTCATCTACTTCAGACATTTGTTCTGCCTTTCTTAGTGCCAAGAAAAGACAGCAGATTGATACCATATCTATTTCTAAGATGATAACTACTACCAAGGTCTAACCTCTACATTGTCAACTACTAAACCAAAACAGACTTTCTCTCGACTGCTACCATAATCTACCTCATAAATGAACATTTTGCTACCACAAATATCAAAGGACTCACTTCAATCTAAATCAAATAAATAAATATATATTACTAGGTTAGCCTGACTTACTTAGGAAGTGAAAAGAAAACAACAAATCTTTGTTATTTGAATGAATAAAGAGAGAAAGTTGGAAAGTGGA